TTAACAGAGTGCGTCGAGAGTTCAATACGCTTAGACGTCAGCAATATGCGATTTGATTCGAAATCTTAGAGGGAAAAATTTTTTTAAGAAGGTATACAGTAATTATTTCCGTGATTATTAAACGATGGTGGTATTGTAAGACACCGAGAAGATCGTGAAAAAACATACGCATCGAATAGGTGGATTTACGCACAAGGAAGAGATTAGTTTCTCTATCGTAGAACATCTAAAGGTGTTTCTGCGTTACATCTACGAGAAAAAACATTGGGTACTGACTCGAAATTTGTGTAATATTCTAATTACGCGCATTTTCCTCCGCGATTAACTTTCATGATTCACATTGGATCTTGAGTCGCGTAACACACAAAACGATTTGCAAGACAATCAATAGAACACAAAATATAATAAAGCGAGGTCTAATCATTGGCTCCCGATGAACTTGAAAAATTGAAACGAAAGAATTAATTTTGGAAAATGATATATAGGGTGTTCCCGGATTAAATGGCCAAACTTGAAATATGAATGTATAAAATGTCAAAACAAAAAAAGATTTTCCTCTGGAAATCACAAAAGCTTCGTTCCAGAGATATTAATTTCTTAAGTTACAACTATAGGAATAAATAATGTCGAAATAATCTAGGTTTATTCTCTTTATTGTTTTAAAGTGATCAAAATTTAATTATTAAATGTTTTGTTTAAAATGATGGCCTCCAGGCCAGAGACAAGCGTTGCACTTATCAATGAGAGAACGAGTGGCTGATTGATATTGTGCGTCTGTAATTTTTTTGCACGCTTGTACTATCTTCCGTTTTTATGATTGAAGGTCATTAACAGGCACTTCATACACTTTTTGCTTGAGAGCACCCCATACAAAAAAATCTAAAATCTTGTTAATCGGTGTTAAATCTGGTGAATGACATTATTCATTCCTATAGTTCTGTAATTTAAAAAGTCAATATCTCTTGAACGAAGTGTTTGCGAGCATATTTCCAGAGGAAAATTATTTTTGTTTTGAGATCCTAAATTCATATTTGACCATTTAACTCGGGAGCATCCTGTATAATATAAAACAAGGCAAAAGACACGCGCGCGCGATTTGTAATTCAATAAAATAAAATATAATTTTTAGAAATATTTGGATAGCTCGATGCGTAAACGAAAAAAAGTTTTAATAGCGTGTTAAAAAATTTGTTTACGTAAGTCGATTAAATTCAGCATATAATCAACATAAATTGTACACGAGATTAAAGTCATCTCATCATAATCGTTATAATTATTCCTAACATTTCATCGCAAATGCGAAATATATTTTTGCACATACATTCAAGTTTTTAGATTCTTTTGAAAAAGTGAACAGTTGCAATTGATTCGCGAGCTACGCGTCTCTGGCAAACATTATCGAAGTAGACACTAGAACATGTGTTGGCAAGAAGGTGCAGAGAAAGTTTTAAGGCATACGTTCTTTTTGAAGATCGGCGATATTTGATAGAAATAGCGCTATATAGAATCTTGCTGATAAAACTTTGATATATAAGCGATTAACTCGCAATATCTCATTGATTATCCTCTAGGGAAGAAACTCTCTATAAGTGTAGTCACAAGAACGCGCTACGATCTTTAGGCAAGAGAGAAATCATAGAGTATGTAGATAGATTAGAATACTGGGATTATAATAAGAGAACGCGGTAGAGTTAAATTTCGAGAAAACTTACGTCTCTTTCATATTCGATATACGTTACTGCATCATCCTCAAATATATCTCTGTCATAGATCGATAATAACATGTGTGAGAAACTATTTTAACGATTTCGTATTCTATATAGGTCTATATGTATATGTATGTATATATGTATAACTCTTAATTTTTCGTATGGCTTAGTTTAGGAATCACGACAGCAAATGTCATCGATATCTGTCTCGCTTTAACGAACGTAATCGAATCCTCTTTTCTCTCTCGCGCGTTTTATATATATATTTGTTCTTAAAATCTTTTTCTTTGTGCGTCTCATATGCGCGTGTAACTGTCCGTAAAACGACGAATTATCGCATTAACTTCTTAAAACGACAGCGAAGAAGGGATCGCTTCAATGGGGAGAGACTGAGAGATCAGAAAAGAAAAAGGAGATTCGCATTTGGTTTTTACGCTTCGGTGCATTGTGTATTCTTTTCGTGTGTGTGTGTGTGTGTGTGTGTGTACAGACAAGTTCTCCGAGAGAACAGAGGTTGCACAGGCATTAATTTTATTTTAAGCATGATCGAGACCCAGGTTCAATCAGAAATAGAACTACGTCACGAACGCGTTATCACAATCTTCTTTCTTTTACTTATAAAAAATGTGTATGTCGATATGAACGAAGAATATACATGTCGTAGCCAGATTACATAATCCGTCGTTTTATAAAACGTCTAGACACTTTGATAAAGTGTGGCCACATTTTCAAATCATGGTTGAAAATGAAATATTTTACAATGTGGCTAAGAATTTTAATCTTTTTATAAAATGCTAACAAATGACCCATCACATTGTCAAACGCAATGATTTGTACATCGTTTTAGATTCTGGCTGGTTCATTTCAGTCAATTTATGAACGGCGCGTTTTTACCGATCTTACTTTATGTTACATTTGATAAAATAGTCATAATAAATGTTTTTTTAATTTTTTTCACGCTTATATTTCTTTTTATTATTTGTTTTCAAACATTATTTTCAAGAATTTTATTTATGTTACTTTTATAAAATCTTGTAATAAATACAACAAAAGTATTCATAAATACAATAAGTAATAAATACAAGTGCTCATACAAACTTTTTCTCATTTAGAAATATATATAATTACTTATTAATATTATAACATAATCTATTAATCTTCCATAAATGGCTATTCTACAAAGACAGTTCATAAAATGACTAAAATAAACCAGCCAGAATCTAAAACGATGTATAAATCGTTGCGTTTGACAATGTGGCGGGTTGCTTGTTAGCATTTTATAAAAAGATTAAAATTCCTAACCAGATTGTAAAATATTTCATTTTCAACTATGATTTGAGAATATGGCCGCACTTTATAAAATGCCTATACGTTTTATAAAACGACGGATTATGTAATCTGGCTACGACATATATATATATATACCGTTACAAGAACAAAAATTTTAAATGGCAATACACATTTCTCGCGACGATATCCTTGCATAATACGCGCAGCTGAAGCCCGATCAAAAAGCACGTTTTCGATGATTATTTTCTCCGTAAACGAGTTGCCTAAGATATATCATCTGTTAAGATTTCTTGTTTGTTTACATTACTTATACATAATATATATATCGCATTCTTATTTTTTAATATCGGAAAATACTGCGGTGCTATTCCTTTTTCGACCTGAATAATTGAACATAATTATGTAAGAAGGAACTAAAATACATTGCTTAGCTAATTAATAATTAATAGTAATAACTTATATAAACTTTAGATGAATGTGCTAACGATACAATTTTACATTTGCGATATATTACGAAGTGAATTTCGTATGTGTAACGCGTTTTTCTCAGATTTTTAAATAATGTTATATATATAATTAATTACGTAAAAACAAAATTTGAACTCCGTCCCCTTTTTGCATCGATAATCTAGTCCCTTCTTATAATTAATCCAAAAGAGCAATTTCTCGATCATGCGGAAGTGTTGAAAGAATATACTTCGAACATCCGTTTGTACGCGTACTATTTCAACACAAACTAAAATTATAAGAGACATCCTAATCTTCTAAGCATTAGTTAGACGTCTTAGAAGTTTCATCGAAATATCTAAATGTCTACATCGAAATGTCTACGTTTTCTTCGATATTGTTTAGATATAGTTCTTAGTTAATTATCGATCGAGATAAAGAGATAGTTTTAGATAATTAATTGACGAATCCATCCATTAACTTTAGTAAGTAAAAACTATTCTCTAAATATATTCTTTTTCAAGAATCTTTTAAGCGTCTTTTTACGTATCTCTAAATGTCTTTTCAGCTTTAGTGTTATTTGAATCTAATAGACGAAAGTATATACGACTCGCGTTAAAATAAATCATTTAGCATAGTGAGCAAATGTTGTCTTTTGATAGATGTTTTGACAGTTGCGACTCAACTATACTCCGTCCAAAGAGAGAATGATCTCGGTCCGGACGAAAACTCGTCCGTTTCGCGCAGGTCTCCACTCACAGAAGCCGTATCTACGTATACGGTATTGAGTATTTCGCCATGTTCTCCCCACTTTGCCCGCTTATGCGTGGACCGAGGTCATTCTCTCTTTGGATGGAGTATACACGCGCTCACGCAGCAGAGAAGATGTAGATTTAATACCTTGTTTTAGTTTTATCTCGTGAGTGCTTGCGCATGGAACGTAATCTTATTGCTTTAAATTAAAGAAATATATGATATGCATTTTTGAAATATGCTTTGAAATGTATATTTATATATTTATTAGAATTGCAGTTGAAGATGGAAATAAAAAAATTTCATGAATAAGTATTTTTCATATAAGACAACAGATTATCTCATCATGCGAACATTCATTAGTGGATACAATATTAATTATATGATAAATGTGCAAGCACACCCTCCTCCGCATTTCACGATATCTTTCAATTTCCGATTTATTGCAATTTATGCGTCTCTTACGTTTCGTGTGATTTTTTATAAAAATATCTCCCTCTCTGATTAATCAATAAATATTACTATTCCGTTTTCTTAAACAATGTAGCGTCGATTGCGAAATAATTTACGTTGTATTATTACGTAATATTGTATATAATGTAATCATGATCATAATAAACATAGACGTGTCTCTCGCAATTTTTGTGGCTATTTAATATCATATCATAATTTCATATCATTTATTATTTTATGGCGAGATTGTGAAATTATTATACAAAGCTGTAGACGTATCTATATCGTTGAGAGAAAAAATGTAAATTGTAAAATGCGACAACGTGTGTATTTTTATTTTTTTATTTATTTTTTTTTTTTACTAATAATGATGCGCTGCAAAATTCACACGTGGGTATATGTCAGTGTTCTTATCGACGTTACACTGCGTCAGAGTAACTTATAATGATGTGAAAAGATAGGTATATATATATATATATATACATAGGCGTGATTATACAACTTTTACATTAAATTAATAAATGAGTTAAACTAAATCGATATAATCGAATATAATTTCTTTCAGTAATATCGATTTTGTATTCAAAGGAGAAAAGAACAATTGAAACCAAGGTGAAATTTCAAAGAGACGCGTACAAACCGATGCGATTGTAAGCTAATTTTGGGAAGTAATGAAATAGTATTCGAACGAATAACTTTTCTGTAGCAGAAATTTTTAATAACTCTCTTAGAATTTTGATAGTTTTCACATGCTTATGTATTATGAATCGCGATAGCCTTATTATCGCTCATGTTCTGTCAAATCTCAACACAACTTTGATATTATTTAGCTTATGTTCGTCATTATATGAAATATCGAATCCACTGTGAAATATCTAGCTGTATGATATCGAATGCATTTCATGCCGTTTTAAAATCAAGCCACTTCCAAAATCTTCTCTTCCGAGTCGTGCAAATTTATTCGGGATATTTTCTCGTGTTGCTTTCTTAATTTGTTCCAAGGTACAATTAACTGCGTCTCGCGCTGGTATGACTGCCATCTAACGTAACGTGTTGGCAGTCCTATGTTATATGTTATAATATAAATCTCATCTTCAATGAACGCAACTATTTTTTCTTTTTATTGTAAATCCAAAGCTTTCGTCATTCTTTTTCTGACATCTTGTTATAGAATAAAATCTTTCCACTTAAGATAATCAGAAAAATTCACAAGAGTAACTTTAGAGAATCTTAACGTGTATTATATATTTATATATATTTTAACACTAATGAGGTTATTTATTTGTTTATACAATGACTATATACTGAAAGTTTAGAGATATCATTAAATAGTCTTTATCCTTAAATATTAATGAGCACAGGATGAATAGATGTACATCTTAGAAAGTACAATAGCGATATATTATAATAAAGATTTGTGTGTGTGTGTGTGTGTGTGTATGTGTATGTATGTATGTATGTGTGTGTATCTATATATATATAATATTTGTATATTTTTATCTCTCTCTGTGTATGTAACGCGTTTTTGCAAAATACAATACTGCCTTGCGTAATGTCTCCGATAATAAAATCAAAATTCTCTTCTAGCATTCGTTATACGCCGCCGTAACATTTTAACATTGCATTATCGGACCGGATGTCTGATTGGGAGACAGCCTAGCGCAACGAAAGTGTTCTCCCAAAATGGTGTCGATCACGAAAAAGCAATCGCGCGCCGAATACGTTTGTAAAAGGTAAGGGAGGGAAGGAAGGTGAGGAAGAAGGAAATGCGATGAAAGAAAAAGCTCTCACCAAAGAAAGGCAAACTGAAAATAATATAAGAAGATCCATCCTCTCCCGACAGACAACTAATAAGTCATCGATCGGAAATCACTCTCCATCGTACATCGAAAAATATCGTTTATGTGCGCGCTCGTGTTTACTTCGTAATCCATTATATTCGAGTGCCCGATCGTGCAACAGCTAGAGAACCGTCTTAAGCCATAAAACGTCGAACTCTGCTGCTGCTGCGTGTATATTCGCGTAGGCGAAGATTGCGATCTTTTGCCGCTCTCTATTTTCATCAATAATCTATAATGTAGGTGTGTATTTATGTATATATAATTATCGCGATCAATCGATCGATACTTATCGGACGATGGGGCGATAAGGCTCGCACCTCGAGCCGTCTCTTTATCGCGTTCGCTTCTTTATATACGGGGCACGCGCGTACGCAGAATGGATATACATATACGCATACTTCTTACACGCTCACACAGGACGCACGCATTCACAAAAATAAATCTCTAAATACGGCACGCGTGCGCGCGTGAAGATTCCTCTTCTTTATCCGTCGGTCGCTCGGCGAAGCGCAATTCCTTCGCTAAAGCTGAGGACCAGTCGCTCTGATCGGCAAGGATGCGTTTCATTTCCCTTAGCGAGATTGGAAAGAGGCGAAAACCTTTATGCTCTATCCGACTACAATTATGTTCATCCTACCGTAACGACAAAGGTCACTAGAAATGGTAAAATGACGACGAGATGAATATAACAGTAATGTTAAAGGACAAACTCTCCACGATTCGATCGGATAGCTCTGCGAGATCTCGATCGCCAGGACGTTGTATAAGCGAATCGAAACTTCGCAGCAATAGGATTATAAACTAGTCGCTTCTTTCTACGGATACGTCGAATCGAAAGTATTTTCTTCGCAGCACTTTCGACGTATCCGTGGTATGACAGTCATTTCTTCCTTGTGCTAGATCAAGCTCTAAATCGGTTTCTAAGCATGTTGTGTGTGTGTGTGTGTGTGTATGTGTTTAACTAGCAAGCGCGTCTTACTAGCGCGCGATTTCGATTTCGCAGTGACCTTTGCCTGGGATCTCTAATCACTATATTTCGTTGCTAGCGCGCAGTAAGACGCCACGCGAGTGTGAGAGTCTTTTCCGTTAACGGGTCAGTCCGTAATAATGAGACGAGACACTCGGGGAGAGGGGGAATTCGTTGAGGGCGGGAGATACGATACCGTGTGTCATCGAAGGGATGGATGTCTGTCCGCGTCTTCGGTATTAAATACCAACGCGGCAATGCGTAAGGACGACAACGACCGCTAGCCGGAAGCCGCAAGCTTCCTGGCGTTCGCGCGAGACGACTCGCAGTGACACGCAGTCCGAAGATACGTCGATGCGTGGATGCGATCCCGTTATAAGGGTACTCTGCTGATGACGCGCGACACGTTCGATCGCTTTTCTTCAGGTTCAGAGAACGATCCCTGAAGAAACTCGAACGTCATCGCTCGTCGGAGAGTTTCGTTTTTCATGCACGCGCGCTACCGATAATCGCGGATATTTTACGAACACAGAGTATTTTAGAATTTCGCTAATCGCGTCTTGCGTTGCATCTCGAACGGCCGGTACAGCCGGCGAAATTCGTCGGCGATGGCATCGACGCAACATCGGATCAGAGTGGATCGAGCGACGCGGACCGGCTTCCCTCCTCTCGCATTGCGGGCGTTTCTCAGGATGGCTCCGCGGATCGTTGGTCGTGCCCTAGCGCGGCACATACGACCCGAAAAGGCGTAACAAGCTTCTCGCTAAACCGATCCGTTTGAACGAAACGGAGCGACTGGACTAGTCTTGTAGACTAGCTTGCGGTATGCGCAAGCGCCATGGGCCCAGTGACCCTGGACCTCTCGGATACCGGCCCAATTTATAGAAGCCCTTATTAGCACGCACCTGTGCTCACGCATAACGCGCGTGATCGTAGAATATCCGCCAGAGAAACCACCAAGACAATATCTTCGAGTAATGGAGACAAGACATTTTCGAACTTATTATCATCATCATCGGTATAAGAAGAGAACAATTTGAATGATTTCAAATGTCAAATAAAATACTCGCGAAAATTTCACAACACGGATGGTTTCTAATAATCAAATAATAAATACTAATTTACTACTATCGTTACTATATTAAAAGATATCATTAATTGTTTTAACTGTTAATCACAAAACGAAGGAACTTTCATTTTTTTCTCTATTATCGTCCGTGTCGAATGTAATTTATTATACCTAGTATAACAATTATCAGATTAAAATTTTTAAAAATAAATCAAACATATGAAGATAATGTTTCGGCAAGTTTCTCGATACACCAATAAATTCTGAGGACAAGTTTCTACGATCGTGCCGCTTCTGCTTGGGATATCAATTGGGCCGGGCTCCGATTCGGGTATGCAGATGGCATATCGGTATTTGTCTGTATTGGCCCAGGGCCTCACTGAGCTTGTGCACTAGGATCGCACTGCAACAGTCGCACAATAGATGGGTCGCTCTTCGCACCCTCTATAAATTCGTCAAGCGATAGCTTGCCGTCTTTGTTCTTATCCATTTGTCGGAATATCTTATCAGTTCGTTTCTCCGGCGTCGACTCGTCTTCCGGCATCTTCATCACGGAACCCACCATCTTATAGATCGCCTGAAATCAATGTTACAATAAAATAGAAGAGAGTTAAGAATAGAGTAGAGTTTATATATATATTGCGCATGTCGAAGAATATTAGTCGTCTCAGAATTATGCATAAAATAATTTACAACATTAACATTTAAGAAAAAAATTCTAACACCATACGTTAACTGATGATTGACAATCAATAATATTTTATAATAACAGATTGAAAAAAAAAAAACACTAAAAAATGCAATCACGTTAACTGTAATGTACAATTTGTTATAAACTATAAATTGTATTATGCGTAAATGTCACACCAAATATCTTCAATTGCGTACTGTAAAGTTAATTTTTTTCTTTATAGAAATTAAATATGGAAGTCCAATCCTTTTTTTCAAAATCAAATACATATATACAGGGTGAGTCATTTTAATCAACGCACGCAAATATCTCGTAAAGTAAGCAAGATGGAAAAAAATGTTTTATACAAAAGTTGTAGGGTTCAGAGGGGGACACATGATGAAAATATGAACTTGACCTTGAGTGACCTTTTCAAGGCCAAGTCAATGTGATCAATATTTTCTTAAATGGAACCCCCCATTTTTTATTGCATATTCTTGTAGCTTATCTCGAGAAAAAATACTTTATTATAGTGTTTTGAAAAGCTTTCGAGATAAGCTACAAGAATATGCAATACAAAATTGGGGGTTCCATTTAAGAAAATATCGATCACATTGACTTGGCCTTGAAAAGGTCACTCAAGGTCAAGTCCATGTTTTCATCATGTGTCCCCTTTTGAACCCTACAACTTTTATATAAAACATTTTTTTCCATCTTGCTTACTTTATGAGATATTTGCGTGCGTTGATTAAAATGACTCACCCTGTATATTCCTATAGTTCTGTAACTTAAGAAGTCAATATCTCTCGAATAAAACGTTTGCAAGCATACTTTCAAAAGAAAATTATTTTGGTTTTAAGGTCCTAAATACATATTTCAAGTTTGGCCATTTAACCCGAGAGCATTCTGTATATATATCATCTTTTTCTTAATTATATATATTGCAGATTGTGTGACAAACATAGAAATCTGGAGACAGAATCGAAAATCGTAATATTTTTGAATAAAGCAGATGCAACGATATAGTTGATTATACATGTATTGAGCTCGTGAAAAGTAAAATTATATTATATTATAGATTGTTAAAATATATTCTTCACAGCCTCTTTTATTTTGGCACGTACCGTTACGATCTCGAGCATCTCTTGTCGCGAGATGTAACCGTTGCCATCCAGGTCATACATGCTGAAGGCCCACTTTAACTTCTGCTCCAACTTGCCGCGAGACGTTACGCTGAGGGCGCAGAGAAATTCCCGAAAATCGATCGTGCCATCGCCGTTCGCGTCGAACGTTCTGAATACATGCTCCGCGAACTAGGAAGAGAGAGAGAGAGAGAAAGGAAATCGTAATAAATTTTAAAGAAAAAGAAAACCTGAATAACTTCGCGAGATCGCGATAGCACGCAATATGTAAATAACTATATCAATCACATGCGGCGTCTATACACATGGTATATTTTTATCGCGCAAGATTTTTCCATTTACCTTTGACGCGTCGCCATAAGGAAAGAAGTTCCCGTATATTTTCTTGAATTCCTCCACGCTGAGGTGGCCGCTGGGACAGTCTTTTAAGAATCCTTTGTACCACTCCTGAATCTCAGCATCTTGAAAAGGAAAAGCGGTAAAATATTATCTATACCCAGTTTTGTTAACAGTACTCACACATTTCCGGATAAGTCGGTGAGCTAAATATTTTTTGACAATACGATAAGAGTTCATTACTATTTATTATCACTTTCTCTCGAAACAAAAACTTCATTATTATTCTAAATTTTATATGCATACTATAGATAAGATAAATATTGAATATAGCACAAGGAAAATATTAAGTCCATTAATTGCCCGTATAAAGAGGCGCACCTGAGAATTCAGTATTCTGTTTGAGGTCCTCCAGCACTTCCGGCTTTAACTTGCTGTTTTGCTTCCCCATGGCTGTTTAAAGTCCTTCCCTTCCAGAATCCCTGATTTTCCGACGAATCCCGGGATCCAATTAGAAGATAATTAAGCGCTAACTAGACTACTATTCTAATAGTGCCGTTAAGCACAATACGCTTCGCGGCTGGTATTCTCCACCAGACACGCCTGAAAGAAAAAGAGACGTACGATATATAAACTTTCAATGGTCTTTTGCGATCAAGCTGACTGCGAGTGTAGCAGAAGACGATGGATGCTCGATAGGTCGTATCGTTTTTTTTTTCTTTTTCGCTCGCGATCGTTTCGAACGGGAACAATTATTATCGGGACCGCGCACTCGAGATCAATCGGCAATTAACGAGCGAAACAAATGGATGAGAACGCGACGTAGAAATATAGCCCGTCTAAAGAATCTACGACAAATTCTATAAACGACTTGAATGTCAAAGGTCACGTGGATATTAAAACCAACAACGACTAAAGACGAAGTAAAAAAGATTCCACGTAAATCGTAGATGCGCGTGCTGTCGAGAGCCCTTTGAGCTTTATTATCGTTCAACCTTTATGATCGGTGCCGTTAAATATCACAACCGTGATATATATGAGAACAATTGACGCTTCGCCTCAAAATTGTTTAATGTATCGTTGATAGACACGGTATTCCCCGAACGTTTAATTTTCATCGATCTTTCTCGGTGACAAATCCTCCATGGATTATACATTTCTCGACAAAGTGTATTTATCATATGCGAAAAAAGAAATAAAGGAAGTTTTCGAAGAATGCGATGAGTTTTATGAGTTTAAGGAGATTTAGTGACGAGGATAAGATGCATTCGCACGCATGCATACGCATTCACACAACTGCAACAGAAAAAAACATTTTCAGAGATTAATAACAAGAAAGAGAGGATTTCTCCCCTCTTTTTTTTTTGTGAAAACAACAATAGTAAAAAACGCAACGGCAGTAATAATAATACGTTTGGAGCGTAGTGTGCTTTATTATAATAATAATATTAGTAATGACGATAATGCGGGTTTCTCCCACGGTTCCTCGCCGTGCGAAGGACCCACATACAAAATATGAGTTAGTTTATTTTGATTGCTTAAACGGAATTAATTAATTAATTAATTATTTTACCACATAATAATAATACGTACGCAATATATACGTAAGTACTAGATCTCTTATTTAAAGTGTGTGTTCGCGTACAGATATCCATGTATATATGTGTGTGTATATATATATATATATATATATATATATATATACACACACGAGATACACATCGCGAGCAATATTTACTCGAGGAATGACGGTGCATAATCGTGATGCAATCTCGCGCGGCCGCACAGTTTACATGCGAACGGACAACAGTGTTCTTTCATCTCGTCGTCGTCGTCCTATTCGAGACGACGAGTCTCGAGAGGGATGCTCCGGTCTCGTCCCTCGAGGCATTTTCGGCAGCGGCGACGAGTCGCATCTCGGTTGAAAAATAGCCCGCTCTCTCTGTGTGCCCGACGCCGTAAGATAATGTTCCGGCGACATACATATTCACGTGAATAATATTTGCATGCGTCAAGCTCGCGGTTTGACGTTTGTTCTGACGCGTGTGTCGGCGCTCGACACGTGTACAACAGCGTCAGCTGTCAAACAACAATGCGCGCTGTCACTTTCGTCGCAACCGGGAATATCGGGATCATCGATTGTAAACGCGCGAACGATCGTCACGCATCGTGCATAAATTGTTCGTAATCACTTTGTTATCTCTTGTTTCGCATCGCGGCAGCGTCGCAGATCCATTTCGTGAGACTCGACAAATCGAGCTGGGTAATGTATGTATGACGGAGCGTCAAGAACTGTCGTGGGAAATTATACGCGATCGGACAGCGTGTGCTTCGTCGCGTGACTCTAGAGATTCGTGTATTTGTCAACTGAGAAGTTATACATTCTTATGAGGAGAACTTTTTATGAGACATTGTTTATCTCGCCGCCGCTCTGCAACTTGACAGATACATCTGTAAGCTTGTTGAATGTAATTTCGCTGGATGAAATTCTGTTTGTTACAATTACTCTTCTATTTACGCTGAAAGCTATTTTCTCGTTATAATTCGCGTGAAAACGTATCTCACGGTTGACAAATATATATCTGTCGTTTGTCTCCTCGTTGCATCAAACTTATCAAAATAGAAAGTCGTTGCAGCACGCATTAACATACTTGTCCGGTCATCAATCTGTCAAATTTTATAAGATGGACGCTATACAAGAAGCATCAGTTTCTCCGATCTTTCCCTTTTCTTTCATGAACATATGTATGTGTATATCGCGAAGAGAATCAGTTCCCTCAGGAACATTCCCTCGCGTCACAATAATTATGACACAATTCACTGATTTATAGCAGCGGAATATACCTACATTATTAACCCTTTCAGAATAAATCCTCATTCGAGTGAGATATGGTAATGTAGTTACATTAAATGAATAACTTGCCCAATTTCGAGCAAGGATAATTTTATAAAAGAAAAATTTATAAATATGGTAAATATACCGAAAAGAGGACCCAGCCCCTGACTTTGACCTTGACATATATTGTCAAGGTCATCGCCCTGAATAATTCCCAAAAAGTTTTAGCCGTCGCTCGTTGCTCATTAAAAAGTTATTAACAAACAAAAATTTGTAAACCCCGAAAAAATTCTAATTTAACTCAACCCAACTTTACTTTTAAAACTGAAAGATTTGGGTTAGGTTATATCTTCCGGAAGTGGAGCCCCCCCGTAATGGGGGCGGAACCCACTGCATCCACATATATACTTTACAACGCGAAGCGATGTCTATCCCACAATTCTTGTGTGGGCTGTGAAATATATGCAGTCTTATGTTGCAAGTATCGGTCGGTCACTATCTTCAATTGTTAATAACTTTTTAATAAACAATGAGCGACGGCTAAAATCTTTTGATTGTTACTCAGGACAGTGACCTTGACAATATATGTTAAGGTCAAAGTTATTGGGGCTGGGTCCCCTTTTCGGTATATTTACCATAAATATATATATGTATATGTTTGAATATACACACTATTATAAGTCGCATAATAAAATGAGAAACACGCTTTATACAATATCGTCGAGCGGATGCGAAGCCGAAAGGATCAATGTACAGAAAAGTCATATCATATTATTTGTATAACGAGGAATCATATTGATATATTGTAATGTTATAATCGCCTAAAAAAAAAAGAAGCATCTGTCGAAAAATCCACATCTACCCCTTCATTACGCAGCTGCTAATCGGTAATACCGTGACATACGCGCGAATTCACTCGAAGTACATAATACGTTATTAATTACAACTTCGCGGCCGCAATCGGGGCTGTACGCTTCGGCAATTTCGCGCAATCAGTGGATGCGCTGATTACACCGGCAGCGCTGGTAATGAAACTAATGTAGTTAACTTGGCCACCCTCGACGATCCGCGTGCGTACAACGCACATTACTGTTACGATAAAACGAGAGAAAGAAAGCCTCGTCCCAGAGCTCGACTCGAATAAGCGAATATTCGAATCCGCGTAATGGCAGATCAGGGTCGAGAGTAAAACTTTTAACGACGTAGATAATGACAATAAGAGTATCGTGGTTTCCTCTTTTTTTTTATTTTTTTCATCTACGCTACCATATTCGACCAAGATTTAATTTCAGATAGAATCTCGGAGCCGAGATATCGATTGTATTATCATTTTCTGCAACGTCATTTAAAAAGAGAAAATACTCTTCTGCAACTTAAGCTATCATTATGACACTGTGTCGAAGAGTAGTTCAAGTAGAGTTCTTCTACACAAATGTCCTTTTTAATATTTTCGTTAGATACCTTGCTTTATCTTTCTAATTAAATATCATTCTGAAAGTATACAAATAGAAATTGTGAAATATAAACGCACAATAAGAACTTGTATTATTAATTGAGTGTTTCAACAGATAAAAATCTTTTTAATTAAAAAAAGATTCTGTTCTGTGGAATGCCGGTTTGCACAAATAAAAATTAAAGAGATATATATGCGAAATATTTTTCACAATACGTCTTGCAATATGCAATTAAACTTTAATGGAGCCATATAAATTATTTGTTTATGTAAATTTCTGTGTATATATAGTTGAAACATATGTTTTATCTCATATCGATTCTTCGTCTTTACACGTCATATTTTTTAAATCGCGCAAAATGTAATATAAAATAATGTCATATTTTCAACTTTGATGCCAACACCTTCAACATCATTATCATGCATATCATTATTTTGCGCGGCAGATTAAAAATTTATTAACGTAACGTCCATCGTTTGCACATCATAAGAAACGTATCATATATTATGTGTACATATATGCCACACATTTCCTCCCTCCATCATATCTAATAAGATAAATGCGCGCGTGTTCTTTTATCTCCCGCGACTAATACGATCAGTCGTAAGCGGCGCGTCGTTATGTCCTTGGAACAAAATTGATACCTTGTGTAAAGATTTATGCTCGTTGTCTTGTGTCCTGATCGCTAACGACCTTATCCGGAAAAGCAATTTTACTCGAAATGTGGGACGACCGTATGCAAAATATCGTGCTTGCAATTATCTCGCAAGGACGTTTGTAAATATAACCGAGAGTAAGAGAGAGAGAGAGAGAAAGAGAGAGAGAGAGAGAAAGTCTGGTTTTTAGATAAGCGGGGTTTGCGTCGAGTTAACTGGAAAGTTAGCGTGTTCTTCCGTGAAATTCCGAACGTGTGTTTGTCGTATTGTTCACATGTACGCGCCATTCCTTGACGTAATCATCCTTAAGTGGCACAACGAATTTCGAAATAATAATAGCGAAGGAAGTATAACGAATTCTTTTATCATTAATTTCGCAACTTAATCCAATCTTAATGTTGACTCGAAAGAGATGTTTTTACAAACCAATTGAATTTTTCTGTTCTTTTTCATCTGATAAAACATGAAAATATCACGATTGATAATTATCATAGATAAGTATGTTTTTGATTAATTAGCCATGATAATTAATAAATAATTAATAAACACGAAAAGCAAGAAATTTTAAAAGGGGAAAATTGATAGAGACTATTCATGTATAACAAGAAATTTCGCTGTAATAGAGTGATTGTAAGTTCCGAAGAATGATAAGTTACA